ATCTTTTATTATGAAGATACATTTCTTTAACAAATTTATTTTAAAAACCTGATAAAATATACTCACAAAATTCAATGTACCATGACATGTAAATTACGTAGCCTACCCGCCAATTACATGTTTACCTTTGGATATTATACAATAACGCAATGAATTGTTAATAGGTAGACTTTTCTGGATAACAACATTCGTGCCCCTCATCCTTAACATCTCCAATATCAAATTATACAAAAAATCTAACATACAGCTTTTATTGATAAGCTAAAGTAGATGTACAAATATTAACTATTTATAATATAGTGCTTTATAGTCTCAAGTATTGTGTGATTAGTCAATGCTATGTATATGCAACATATTGCGGGGTTTGACTTTGCATTGATTTATTCTTAATTCTGAGTGATGCTATTGATTGATACTATTGAGTGATAGATGTCTACTTAAAAGATCTTCCAATTTTCAAATGTGTGAATAAAACAACCATTTGTTTATTATATATTATTTGTTTTAGTAATTTTATACCCCAAAATTAACTTAGATTTTGATATATTTACCCAAAAAATAATTGAACTCCCCAGGCCTTTAAACAACAGTATGTACAAATAGGACACTGGTACGTGTATGGCCCCAACTGGATTACCGTGAAGGCGTATGGAACCAAATGCACAGAAAAGTTACATTAAAAAATTGAGATGGTCCAAAGTCGTGCTTCCAACAAATATCAAAGCAAGACAATCGTGATTGAAGGCAGCCTTCGGTTAGACAAAAAGATCAACCCTCGGATTGAGAGTTTTCTGCCATACGTTCAAAGCGGAGGATCATTTTATTTATCATCAAAAATATGTAAAAGCTATTTCATTTCCACAAGAGTTCTTTATTAATTTTATGTACATTGAAGATGATACTACCAATACTAATTTGTTATAAAGGAGTTACTGCCCTTCTGTTAAAAACATGTTTACTAAAAAATCAAATCCCGGCTAACTGAATCTACTTATACTTTTGTTAGGGCTATATATTGTTGATACTCGCCTAAAATTTAAAATTTTGTTTTTAAATTTTGTTTTTTTGAATTCAGCAAGTCTACTTGTCGCTTGTTAATATAACATGTAATAAGTGTTTTCTATCTTGCTTAGTGCAAGTCCACGAAGCGATACATGTAGACACGCCAACATTACAAACGGTGCTCGCGTATATTGACTTTCACTAAACAGTCTAAGAGTTTAACGTCAGTAACACAGATCTACTTTTTGTATTAAGAGTAAGAGCTAATAGTTATTTTTTAGATCAGTTAAAAAGAAGTATAAAAGATGTTTAGAGGAGACAGTCTCCTATTTCTATCAATTAGAAGTTGTCTTCCTTCTCCCACATACGCAGTCAAGAAACTATTTATATGACAGATTCTAATCTGGATAGGTGTTTTTATTTTATAAATATAAACTAAGCTCTGTGTATTCAGTTCCAAATATGCATCGGATATTGATTAAACGTCGTTTCAACCTTGTTTACTCTCTCTATATTTAATCGGATTTTATGGGTTTCTATATATATCATAGACTAAGAGTGACAACTGCCGATGGATAGGAAAATAACATCTTCGATCATATCAAGTGCTGACAGAGACCTTCGGTTCTAATGCTAATATGATGTATTTGTGATGGCAAGGGACTAAATTGAAATTTCAGGTCACACTTTGTTTGAAGTTGATTTTATTAGAGGTCGTGGTCATTTTTAATGGTCGTCCACGGCAAAGTAGAACAAAACACTGTCAATGTGGACAAACAACACCAAATGTACATGTAGTACCGACTATTGGTTCAGGCGTGGGAACCTCATCTCAGTTGTCTCAGGACAAACAACACCAAATATAGTACCGACTATTGGTTCAGGCGTCGGAACCTCATTTCAGGTGTCTCTGCCTTTTGTTAAATATCTGGCCCATTCTTATGTCTATTGGCAAGTGTGTTTGCAATTGAACTATTTATGTATTTATTTGGAAAGCAATCTTAACATTTTCACATCTCTCTCTTTTTTCAATGTGTAATTTTCAACTCCGACTGTTATGTAAGTTTAACTCGCAGAAAAAGACAGGTTTCCTCTTTTCTTTACTTCAATTAATTATTGATGTTACTGATCAGTAATAGTATCAAATATCAGTATAATAGTTACTATATATATATTTCAGGGTAATATAGATGATTAGCTTAAAGCGTATCTGCAACGTACAACAAGAATCTTCGCGGTTACTCCTCAGTAAAAGGCTTGTGCACACATTCACACATCCGTCTATGACGGGACGTCACGTGGTCTGGTGATGTCTGGATTATTGGCTTGCAGAGATTCAACGATACTTTATCTGCACCATACCTTCCTTGCTACTTCAGGTAAGTTCTATAAACTTTCTCATGTTGCATACTAAGTAATGTGTATTTGATGTAAGTGCCACGCATTCTTTATCACATTACAATATCATTAAAATACTTCAGCATTTTTCTAGGAGCAGACTTATATAGGCTACATGTATGCCCGTTGTATAATCCCTTTGTTTTTGAAACAATAAAATATCTTGAATTGAAAAAAACCACCCCAAAACACACTTCAGAATATGAAATTAAAAGAAATATCGTGTCTAAAAACTAGTACATGTATATAATTTGCCGTTCACTATCAAAAAAGTATAAAAAAAAATTGCCTGCTGAAGGACAGCTGTATGTATATTGATTCGTCGTTGATATGTAAATATATTAGGATGGGTATACTTTAGTAGTGTCTCGCGTCCCACTATTACACAGAGTTTTGGTTTATTTATATATCGAGGACAATCACGCCTTCCTATTTAACCAACTTGCAACAGACTTCCCTGCCGAATACCTTATATGTATATTTTGTGGGTAAAGCAGTATATATCAATATTTTTTTCGCAGTAGCAAGCAGTGCGCCAATTATTTTGGTTACTCAACACAATTCCGCTCTTTTCTGAAATCATTTGACAAGATCTGCTTAGATACAAGGTATCAATTGTGTAGTTATATTAAATAGGTTAGATAAATAGGCTAGATAAATAGGTTAGATACATAGGTTAGATACATAGGTTAGATCAATAGGTTAGATAAATAGGTTAGATACATATGTTAGATACATAGGTTAGATACATAGGTTATATACATAGGTTAGATCATTAGGTTAGATAAATAGGTAAGATACATAGGTTAGATAAATAGGTTAGATCAATAGGTTAGATACATAGGTTAGATAAATAGGTTAGATCAATAGGTTAGATACATAGGTAAGATAAATAGGTTAGATCAATAGCTTAGATACATAGGTTAGATAAATAGGTTAGATCAATAGGTTAGATACATAGGTTAGATAAATAGGTTAGATCAATAGGTTAGATACATAGGTTAGATAAATAGGTTAGATCAATAGGTTAGATCAAGTGTAATTCTTTATAACCAGGATAACAAACAACCATTGTCTACGAGTCGTTCTTTTTTATTTGGAGGGAAAAGGAAATGTTAAGGAAGGCACTAATATAGAAATGTTTTTAAAGGCAAAATTAAATACCTAGTGTATTTCTCAAATAGATAAACAATATAATAAAATAAAACATTGTTATTCCGTCGTTTTAATGCATTTGGGCAGACAATGTTTGAATTTCAATGAAGTGAATAGAAATCTAGTTGATTATTACCAATAACGATACTTTCACACTGTGACAAATATCAGTTTTGATATCTGTCGCTGTGGTAAAGATATCAGTTTTAGTATGTTGATGGAATTCAAAATCGCATTGGCAGAAATATAATAAATATGTCACTCAGGAAGGTGGAGTGTCACATAGTGTAATTGGGTATGGAGGCCAACCAGTTAGTAACGGCTCTTTGTTTTATTTCTCATACCGGCATTGTTTATCTGTGTTATAACATCGTCTTTCGTTTATCACCCACATCAAGTAAACTTGATATGGTTATGCATCTTTGGAGAGCAAATTTTGTGTGCTTTAATCGATCTCAAAGATATGGTTCCTCTTTCATTTCGATACCAAAGTTTATCCAGAGCATAACTTCTTTACTATTCTATCGACATACACCAATTCCGTCTTTGCATATTGCAGTTATCTTCTCTTGTGAGCAGGTATTGATTGTTACGTCATTGGTTTGTGTGAGAAAATTACGTCGTTTTCTCAAAAATGTATGACGTTACTCTCACAAACCAATGACATAACAATCAATACCTGCTCACAAGAGCAGATAACTCTGCAATAAGCAAAGACGGAATACTGTTATGCATGTGTATCTCAGAAAAAGAGGGTGTCGCACACTGAATTAGTTCGCGAGTTAATCTAACATTTTTTATACATTTTTTTGTATGATTTAGAAAATGTGCAAAGGAAAGCAATCATATAAAAAGGATCTTTTAAAAGATAAGGTCAAATAGGAGCTCCTTGTGCTTTTCCGTTCGTCAATTACATAAAGAGCAGTATGTTTCTCCCTTTAAAATCACCTTAGATATATTCATTTTTTCCAAGTAATATAGAATAGATTTTGTTATATTTCAATATTTTCATACAATTTGTTACAAGAATGCATCAGAAAGGTTCTCGGTACATATCTGTCATGTGACGGGCGTATCCTTGTTTACTGTTCCTCCCCACTGTGATACTCTTATTGACCAACATCACGTTTTCCTTATACGATCACTGATAATATCATGTTATGATAACGATAACAAAGCTTCACTATACCACGATTGTTATATACACATATACACTGTAAAACACCAACAGGAACTTTAAAGCCTGAAGTGGTACACTTCTTTTTAAGTTGAAAGATGACCCTGTTATTACGTATGTAAGTATTTAGTTGTCCTGGTAGGTTGTCTAAAATGTACCAGATCTTACAACGATCGTTTCGCCTAGACGTTCTTTATGCATGCATGTTTTCTGGGTGTATATGATGAAATGCTTGCTGTCTGACAAGTATTACAACACAAACCTGGATTTGATATGCTTTATTTTTACAGCATACATGTGGATCGATTCCACATCGTCATGACAACGGATTTCATACACATACGTTCATGTACAACAAATAGAAATATAGATATATACATCTATGTATATAATTAGTATTAATTACTTATCTACATTAAATTAATCACTTCGTCAAATGCTTTCATAAACACAATGAAAGACTAACCGGGAATAACAACGATAATCAACAATATTTTCAAGTGACAGATTCACACCATTTAAACAAAATAAATAAGTCATTCGCAAAACATGGGTACAATGTTTCAGTTGTCTGACCACTATCCACCTAGAAGAACATCAGCCATGCTAAAAGTCCAGAATATTGTTAACATGCATCACATCTAGAGGCGCTTATATTTAGACACTCCCGCTATCCAATACATGAACTAAGGGTGATTTTACAGTGGCGATTGTGAAAGTATTGAGATGACGAAATAGTTGCGTATTCTGGCGGAAATGTTTGATGACGTAACAGTAATGGTAGTGTTTGATGACGTAACAGTGGCGGTAGTATGTAGGCAAATGTTTAATCTGGTATTTGTTTTGGGATAGGGCGTTAATAATGTTAAAAAAAAAAATTGGATATGAAAATCAAAGTTTGGTTGTTTATCGGAAAGTACCTTGGCCTCGATAAGATTACATAACACGATGTGGATGTCTATGTTTTGGGCTGTGCAAACAACTATGTAGCCCCTTTCAAACATGACTACAAGCCCTTTGCATGTATATGTATGGTGTTCGTTGTAGTCTGCTGTTGAACTGATATACCAATTCAGATAATACGTATTCTATTCATGCTCACCGCACTCTTTTATATAATAAACATGATGATAACAGTGACAATTGATAGTTTTCGCATACACTTTAGTACGAATTTGCGCCGTTTATTCCTTATAGCAATCGCTATTAACTTAATAAACTGAAAGATATCTACGTGTTCTCGTAGTTGTCTCCCTTCTAACACATCTAGGTACTCGATATACATAACTCATACACTCGTTCAGTTCTTCAATCGTTTTTAAAGTTACCGAGACTGATATAAATGAAGAAGAAAAAAACCGGTTAGGAAAAAAGATTACCATGTTTAATAGTCACTGCTATTTTGGAAGCGAATCCAAGCGGAGAGTATTTAAAACATATAGAAGGGAATACAAAAAACCACAGGAATTTCTCCTCTCTACTGATTTCGTCGTGTTTGCACTTCAAAAAGAAGGTTTTTACCTGAATTCACATCTTTTATAATCTTCATTGAAATATGTCTGGAGGGTTATATTTGCAAACACCATTCTTGATACATAATCCTAATTTAAACGACATACACTATTATATCCAAAAACATAACACAATAGATATATATAAAGCAATAAAATATCAATAACAAAAAGTAACCGGATCTTCGTCGAACTACTATTACATATGAAATTTATCAAATGGCTATAAAGCTGAACAGAAGTCAAACCGCGTTATCAGTGTACTGTCGACTACTGCGGTTATATCTAAATACACAGCCAGTAATGTTCAGATTAGCTACATGAGTTAAAGGGCACTAATCTCTTATCGTTAAAATCCTTGAAACTGTAACATATTGACGCTATATATTTTTTCATTTCATTGTTTTTCTTATTTAAAAAAATGTCATTAAATCGTTCAGATTTAAAGGGAATTCGGCAACAGACGAAGCCTATACACGCCCTCACCCTGAAGAGGCCTGTAAGTGATATTCAATCAAAAATATTAGCCATTCCTTTTATTATTTATCATGTAAACGAAAATATTTTTATTAGCATACTGATTTGAAAATAAAAATATTTCAGCATAACTGGAATACAATCGCCATTATATTATATCCCTTTTGCTGCGAATTTGCCCTTGGTGTTTCCTCGATATCCAGGGGTTACGCTCACTTCCGCTCTCTGCACCCCTGGGTTATGTCATAGCAAAATCGAAGGCACGAAAATAGCTGTTTGATTGGTCTCAGGTAAAAAAAAAACTGACCATTCGCTACGCTTGAAGATTGCAAAGGAGAGACGCCCGACTTCAAAGCCTGTCAACTTTACCGTTACGTGACCACGAGATTCTTTTGATATACTTCAAAGGATCAAACTAGTTTTCTCGTCTCGTCCACAAGGTGCCGCACACTAAGCCTTCAATTTTGCTATGATATATTCCAGGGGTGCAGAGAGCGAAAGTGAGAGTAACCCATGGATATCGAGGATGTACGACAGGAAAACGGAAGTAAAATGGATGCAAAACGAAAAACGGCCTTCTTTGTTTGAACATTTCATATCGACAACGTCAAATTCTGTACAGATAGCACCCGTATTTACTAAAGAAGAGTACGGAGTAATATCAGTTATCTCCCATGTTGTAACCTGTCTATATAGTATTATTGAGATTCACATAGTTGTTCCTTTGATATTGTATACAGGGTAAAGTGTCAACTATACCACCGCCTCGGGTCGTACGTCTATACCATTAGTTGCATTAAAGAACTGTATCTATAATATACGAAGGTTGCTCGAATGGTTTTTAGTCAGCACTGACTCGTTAAAGCAAATTCAAAATCTTAATTCAATCGTAGCGAGTCGAATATCCAATTTCTCATTAACAACACATAACAAAAAGGTTCGACAGTGATGGAGACAGCGGACTGGGAACGATAAAACCTGTTATTCATTCCTTCCTGTTGTCCACCCTTCCGTATATCTTTTCAGATTTCACACTTTTGTCTGCCATGTCGGAGTAACTGGGAGAAACGTTGTCCACCTGTTAGTCGATCTCTGGACTCACAGCTACCGGCAGCGACCGCACGGCATACAGGCGAGATAAGCCTTACTCTGTTGTTATTAATAAATAGCTCAAAATTCAAAATCAATTCACAGTATTGTGAGTTTCTTTGAAAGTCACGTGTCCATTTGTTTTGGTGCCGTCTCGACTCATGTCATCGACCGTGTCCAATGGGATGTAACTCTGGTGTTGATTGGATTCCTGAAGGCGCGGGCTTCTGCGCACTGATGTCTGTACGTTTGTGTACTGTGTTGTTGACGTCACGCTCGTTAATCTCGGATCGCCATTCATGAAATTAGGCCAGCGTTTCCTGACCAGGTTCTTCATGTGAGTGTGGACCTGAAAAACAATAACATTCTCGGGACATGAACATGCAGGTTTACGTGTTTTACAATGTTAATTAGGTGGTTTAAATTGTATTTTCATACAACGATAAAGAAAGAGATACTAGTGATTTTGCAAATGAACGGCAAATATCAGGCGTTTTCAACATACGAGTAATTCATGAGAAAACAGTTTGATCAATGTCTTATCTCTATGAAATGGTAGATACTCTAAAACAATTCCTCAAAGGTTTAGCCCGTTTGTTATAGATATTTGTGCAACTTCTAATCTATAGCAATCTTTGTACAGATTTTGGATTGACCAAATATATTAACTTTGAAGACTGGACTTGTATGTATCGTTAGGGAACATCGCAAATGAAACTGAATTTTAAGTACGATCTGCAATATAAACACCAGGACAAGTGTCCTGAGACAGTCGAGATTAACGAGGACCGTTGTTATGTATTAATATGAAGAAATAATCAATTGATCTACCTTACCTCTCCATTGAAAACGCAGAAAATTAGAGAAATGATTCCGCCCTGAAAATAAAACGAAATGTTTTCGTACGACCATGTATAATAATGAAGACATGTTAGGCAGATGTTGTTTCCGTGGGTGTTTGGCTCAAGTGAACCAGAATTTACGCTTAAAGTTAGCAGAGGAGAAAAGCGCAATTTCACAAATCAAACAAGTTGACTTTAGTTATTTTACATAGGTAGTTTAGTTGACCGTCTTGTAAATAAACAGTATTGATGAGAGTGTTACCTACCTGAGTATTGATCACAATCGTTTTGGCGACCTCGTACACGAACATAGCTGACCCGGAAGCATTAGGTCTGTAGATGACGAGGATAGATTGGATCCCAAACAGAGGCACCAGTACAAACGTGGCCCGAAAAGCGCGTCTGTGAAATAGATAAATATAGCAATGAATGAATGAATACATAAATGAATAAAACAAGTAGGAAAATGATTATAACAAACTAACAATATCATTATAATCTCCAGCAATTAAGCACCGCACACTCAAAAAGCTCGTTCGATTTGAGCCATTGGCCATAAATAGATTTATGCAGATAAGAAAAAGCAAGCCACAAGAATCTTTCGTATTGTCACCATAGATCATAGGCGGATCTAGTAGAGTACAGGGAGATGAGGGTCGGGGCAATAGTGAAGATTTCTTATACATTTACAGTATTAAGATATTCTTTAAGAATGGTGGAACAGTAATGAGTATATATTTTAGAAAAGAAGAACACACATGTGCTGTTAATTACCAGACTAGGACGTTTTAGTCGAAAGTTTATATTATATATATAAAAACCACAAATAGCATAAAGACCATGTGACATTAACATCAAACATTAACCAAACTTACAGAATGTATCACCTGATTGACACGTCAATAAGACATAGACAATACGGACTAGCGTCTGTCTTCAGAAATGATTTACGTTCCAACGATCTATTACACGTATTTCTGTCAGTCCCTCATCAAATCGTACGTACGTGTAACTCTTCTTTGTCCTTTATAGTTATGAATAATGAATTTGAGATCATATCAACAAGAAATCCTATAAATGATTTAGTGATGCCAGATTGGGTAGCTTTGTATGAATTCTCACGATACACACTTGTACACAGGTCCATGATTAGAAATATGCATAGATCGGCTTCAGTGATGATATTCTGGCTGGTAAATGTAACACGCATAGACAATGAGTTCTGAAATGACGAGTCCCTGACCGATATATATATCAAACGGTTCATAGGGCATATTCTGACAATCAGTGGATCTATAGACTGACTTGGGAGATTTCCAAATGATGAGAAAATATTATCAAAAATAAAACCAGGCTCGGAGATTGTCTGAAGACAGTTACATCTAGGTCAACTTGTCATCCTATTTTTGCCCGATGGAATGATTTGGTAAATCACAGGGTATTTGTTAAACAAGTATGCAAGACGTCGATCCACAACCATCGTAAACAGTAATTTCCTTGTCGTGTTCATGACCTTGCTATTTCACTCCTCCAAACCGTAATGTCTAAATTCAAGGAAAGGCATGGAGATTTCTTACAAGGTAACAGTTTCATTTTGTAGTATTTGCATGATTCGTGCACCTTCGACAATATATCTTACTTCTGCACGAACATTATTTGAGGTTAAAAATCAAAAGGGGTCTTTATCCATGGAGGCATCCCATTGTTCAATCGATTGACGTGAAAAATGTTTCGAATGCGATTCGCAGTTGCCGTGAAAAATGTTTCGAATGCGATTCGCAGTTTCATATAATCTTAAGTTCATCAAAGTCCATATTATTGTCTTTTCTATACTATTTAATGAGCATGACAAAACAACGACAATCTGGTATGCTAAGTGTTTCTAAATAGAAAGGAGATCCGAATACTAGTTGTATCGACATCATGCATCTTCCATGGGCTAGGTCAGTGTCCGCTGCTCCTAATTGGTACTGTCTTGGCATCATCGGACATAAACGGCAGAAAGTCGCTATAACCACACATACATCAGCGAGCATGAATGATGTTTGTGTGCTTGACCGAAGGTTTCGAGTTTTAAAATGCCCATTTCCCCCAAAAAGGAATGGTCACAGCATATTACAGAAAAGGTCTATCAGCTCTATATAGCCCAAAAAGTCAGGTGAGCTGTAAAGACCTGTCTTGGTCGTCTTAAAAATGGAACTATAGCCGTACATCATCGGTCGTACCTTGTGAAGATTAACAACAATCGTAAATGCTACCATCGATGTATTCCGACCTACGCTTCCTCCGAAGGACGGGTGGAAGGCGATGAGAAAAATGGCAATAAAAATGGTGGTTAATCCTGAAGACATATCCAATAAGTATTTGAACGGGTGTAAAAGGGTCGATTGTCCAGCAGAGAAGGAACATGGTGGTGGCTGGAAGTTACATATGTTGCTCTGAGTTCCAAGATGTGACACTGATGAGCTCTGCATGAGCTCCCTGATTCAAACAAAAACACTCAGAACCACTTTGATGATGATGGTGACTTCCTAACTGATTATGTATTTCTACAAAAAGCATAGTTGAAGATTTTGTTTGAGAATGCTTTAAATCACTACTCTGGAAAAAGGAAAAAATCGTTCCTTTAAGAACTACTGCAGATGAAAACATGTAAACTTGTATTTAATAAATATTGTAAAAAAGATTTAATCTCTTTTAACGCCATTTTTTGTTTTTGCTTTTGAACACGACAAAATATTTCATAAACCTCGTACATTGGAAACACACATATGACTATATGATATTTTATATTCTTAAGTCATGATTAGGACTATTTATCACAGGACTCCGACTGTGTGGACGCGAGAAACCGCACAATATCGCTAATGTATAGCTCATTTTATCAGGCAGCCGGGACCATCTTTGTTTATCGAGATCCAAAGGATTTATTTTTCTAAATAATATTTAGAGATGTTGTTTGCCTGTTGGAGACCAATGTTTAAAAAGAAACAGGAGATTGGATTCAACAGAATAATGAAGTTTATTCTACAGATTAATGAATTTACTTTGTACGAGGAACATTACATAAAATTAAATAAGTGAACACACGTTCGAATGGATTTATGATTGACATATAATCACTGTCCTTTAAGGGTTTGTGTTACATATGATCAATATATACCTGCCCGAACCGTCGCCTGCTTCATTACGACACAGGAGGCTAACTATATTGTTGTTTGATTATAAAAACACTTTGTCGTGACTATAGTTGATTAACTGTCATCGTAGGAAGCGATCAATCAATCTCTTTAATTAAAAGTAAAAGGGATTTCAGAATCCTGTGATGAATCCATTACTTTTACCTGTGTGTTACGTAATACGGAACACTGTGAATTAACTGTTATCACTATATAATCAATACACATTTAATGACATATACAATCACATGTCGTATCGTCTCACCTGTATGTCGAGAAGTTTGGTTTGGTTTGATATGTGTTTTACCTCCTATTAACAGCTATGGTCATTTTAAGGACATGCCAGGTTTTGGTGGTGGAGGAAAGCCGGAGTTCACGGAGAAAGAACCACCGACCTACGGCCAGTACCTGGTAACTGCCCACGTAGGTCTCGAACCCGCGACCCAGTGGTTGAGGGCTAGTGGTATCAGAATGTCAGACGCCTTATCGACATAGGGCCCACCACGGCCCCTATGCCCATATGTCGAATAATTACAACTGTTTCACTGAAGCTTGACCGTGTGGTATTTCAAACATATATAATGGAAGCCTTTGGATAACTCGTCACATCTCGGCAGATTCCGTATCTATATTGATGAAGGGTGCCGGAATCATCCGAGGTTAGCCGAATTGACAACACTTTATGGTATAGTTCATGAGTACAGTTAGCCTTCATGTATCCGAGGTTGAAATGAGAATGCCAGAAAGTACGGAATCAAAAGAAGAAAGATGATTAAGTGGTCTAAGTGAAAACAACCTGCCATGGCAACCGTTCGCAGGTGATGCTGAAATGGAAACGACTTATATGACGCGCCGATAGAAAAACAGCAGAGGTGATATTATAGGAGTGAAACAGCTCGGCGAGGAAGAGAAAACGAATTGAGTAAGCGCATGCAAGGAGAACAAGAGTTCAAAAAGATTCATTTTTTCTTCCGACAGTTGATTCATATTTATATCCTAGTATATAACATTGTTTTGTTCACAGAATATTATACGAGTTAATATATATTCTGTTTAGTTTTAATGTCAATATCAACAGCTGCAGCCAATTGACCCTCGATATTTCGCTGTCATACACTTCATGGTAGCAGACGATAACGGTGTCAAGCACATCCGATCCTGATATAATCGGATTGATAATAAAATATCCCTTTACATCTGATAAAATGCAGACAAGGGGCGTTTAAGCTGATTAAATATTTAAGATAGTATAGCAACAACAACAGTTGTGGATGTAGAGAAATGTAATATAATTCGGCGAAGAAAAACTGTTGGGAAAATAATAATCAACGAACGACGCATACCTTTATAATGAAATGTATATGTTCGTGTCTTATTCGATCTCTTTGAGGTATGTTGACATAGACATTTCAATCACATTTTATTTATATTAAGTCGTTCTTTTGTGTGTGCGGATAATTTTTGCACGTGGCACTTTCATTCACTAACAAGGTCAGCGCAGTAGACGCCATATTTCTGATCGCTGAAAGACATGCATATCCATGCGTGTACCGTCACACGACAAAGCGAATCCGTCAAAGACTGGTGACGCACACCTCACTTGGTTATATTAGAGATACGATGGAGGAGCGTTCCACGAGCATGACCTATACCGGGCGAAAAAACATGGACGTGTATCGCTACTGGTAGAGCATAATGTGCTGGTTGGTTTTGCATGGTACTTCAGTAAGGTAGCACTCTCAAATCAGCGTCAGATCCGCATCAGAAGGATGGAATCAAACACACTAACATAACACCTCCAGCACACACCTTCAAAATCAAATATAAATTATACGTTTAAACAACGTTGAACTTCAACGTTGAATAAACGGTTATTCAACGTATATGTGCCTGCTGGGAATATGCACATGGTGGCACGCCATTCAAGTGACCGTAAATGTTAATTCAGGCGCTAACCCAAATAAAACGAAACACTCAATATTGTCGACAATGGAAAGTATCGTTAAATCGTAGACAAGGAAGAATCGCCCTTTTTATCTAAACGTAGGTTAGGAAAAGTTTTTTTTTCACAAATATCTATTTTAGATAACAAATCTTATATCTATGCGTGGGTTATGACGTAAGAAGTCGTTAAACATTTGTTACCTGTAATTACTTGGTTCGTTGGGATGAGACTGTAACTGTGTCAGTAAAATCCGTAAAATGTTGATGAAAAAAAATATGTTGATCTGAAAATAGAATGAAAATAACCCTCTAATGAGATAGCAAAGGAAAATTCAGAATAAATAGAGGTTGTTATTGTAGACGTGCGTTCTTGTACGTCTGATCTTGTTCATAGATGTTCAAGAGGGAATATCAGAAATGTGTAAGAATAAAGGTACCGATGTTACAGTACCACCGCACGCTATCTTATAATGACGTAATATCTATATTACCGTCCTATAATGATATAACCACTGTACGTTCTGTCCTTTGATTTTGCTGTTACAACTTTTGATGCGTGACTTTACACATTTAAGATAATAGAAAAGGCTATGAAACCGTTTGTCACCATTTTATATTCAATCTCTAACGCCAAGACAATACGTAATGACGTCATCAGATCAACTTACCGCTAAAGTCACCAGTATAGGAATATATATGAAGTACTCAAATCCGCCTGCGTGTTTTACCCAGCAGTTACTGAAAAATAAACAACACACCAACCATTAATTAGTTTCATGGTAAACACCTGATTTGAGAATCCTCAAATATCGTGAATATCTATAACTACGCGCCACGCGCCATCTACACCGGGAAAGTTAGGAGAACACGCTCTCCATTACCAACTTGGTTAAATGCTTCACTTGTTGTGATGACAATGTACTTCTGTTAAGAACCTAATGATAAACGTTCACTGCATGTTACAGGATCATCAAAAGCGAAACATTCAAGCATATGTTTCTCAATCTTCAAATAACAAAAAATAAACATATTGAGATTAAAGTTTGAATTTAAGACTATTTTAAGCTAACAAAACTTTGAAAAGCTGGACACTGATGTGCACGTGCGCTTACGTCATTCATTAAACTCTAATTGATCTCAGTCACCCAGACGCTTGTACAACAGAGTTCTCCACACGCTCCTTTACAAACATCAAGGTAACGCAAAACCATATGTGTGTTATCAAGTTCAAATAATTAATCCTCGTCATACAGACACTTGCACTGTTGGGGTTTCGCCGGTTATTTATGTACAACATGTCAATTAACAATTACCGGTAAATAAAGATTAATGTTTCCAAAAGTGAGAGAGAATATAAAAATAGTTTTCGGTGAAGTCATGTTATGACATAGGTAAAATAAATCGTACCTTAAAAAATGGAAACAACTTCGGTAAGAAGAAAAAAATCGAACTTCAGATGCCCTCCTTATAAACCACACAATGTACTTCCCTGTCAAATACTAATATGTCATTTCTCGTCAAACCCAAACATGTTCTTTTAATCATAACGCAACATTTCCTTCCGTTATTATCTTCTGAAAGGCTCGGAACTATCTAACCCCTTAAATGTCCTTACTTGTCACTCCAAATTGTCCTGATTATTCATTGAAATGTCCCTACCTATTTAACACCAAAGTGACATTTCCCTGTCAAATCCACGAAATAACTTAATATAAAACCTTATGATATCCTTATTACAAAACCATACAAAATACACTTCCTCACTCGAAAACCGCCTTCCTTTTCAATCCCCAATTTATAAAGTATTAAAAAAAGCATCTTTTAATATTCTATGATAGACATATGCCGGATGGTTTCGATCAATACTCGATCTAAGTACATGTAGGACACAGTGGATATGACGGCTAGATTTGATATGTACACGATTTTCTTCTCAAAATCAATCACGTGTATGTGCCATATAAAGAACAGATCTATCTATTACAAGGGGTCATTGAAGGTCGTACATGATATCGATATCAATATAAAACGTGCGGAGACACCTACCGATAAAACATGTGTGTTTCCGTTTTCTATTTTATAGTACACATAATTGGAATAAAAAACAGGAATCTCGACGCTGTAGGCACCAACAAAATTAAATAGAAAATCACAGAGAAAATAAAATATAAAAGNCCCCCCCACACAACTCCATGGAAAGTATCCTACAAGGATTATGGTATGAGTCGGCATGAACAAGGGTTACTATTGTTAACTTTCCGAACCTGAGGGGGGATTTACGGAAAACTGCATCCTGACGATCATGGGGTGTTTTGCATGTCTTTCCTTCAGGCATTTGGTATGTGAACTTTCTCAAATTTGCTCAAACATTACAAATCTAAAAGATGATATCCGGAAACCGCAACGACAATAAATCTAGCAATGTATGAACTTAATGAAATATAAATGATCTGTTTAAAATGGTTGTGAAGGCAATAAAGGACTGACTGAAAATTCCTGACTTTCCTATCTAACATCAATATCACTGTAGTCGACTCAGCGAACAGGTGGTCATGGTGTTCTGTCGAACTGTAAAATACCATCTCCGATAGGCTTACCCCACATTGTTATAAAGTGAATTGAATACAGAATAAATGATGGTACACAAGAGAGGGTTTCTCTATTGAACAACAGAAGTGCGCAACTTTTCCTCGAGATGGTTGTTGTCTACATCTCCAAATTGTGTCATGTTGCGCAGATTACAGACAGCGAATGATATTAATCCTGCCCGAAGGATTACAGCCGGGAATACATGTAATTGCTCGAGGTTACAAAGTTATACTTAAATACGTGAGTGAAAAATCGTTTTAATCAGTTACCTTTTTAATGCAGAGAACATGGACTGTAGAAACGTTCCCTCGATATGTCCCTGTGGACACTTAATGCCATTTTTGTGATCACAGACATTTTTTTACAAGTTAATGGAATGCTTTTAGCATATTACCAGTCAATAATCAAAATCTATTTTTTTCCTTTAATAAAAATAAGTGCAGGAACTTGTCGTTTGTATAACACAAGTTGTATAATGAGACCTCCCCGTGGAAGAGGTACGTGTGATGTATGTTATATATATGAGTATATAATATATATATTCACTGTTTGAATCAAGCAAGTAATGATGTTTTTCGCTCCACAGTTACGTATTAATCTGACAGCTGAAGTCTAGTCCAGCATGTGGTACATTAAATCTAGTGTTTGTCGCTAGATGGCGTCCTTGAACCGGAAGCGCAGATCTAGTCGCGCAGTGTCAGTTACCACTTGTTTCAAGCAGTGCACCGGAAAGAATGTTCTTTGAGCATATAGGAAACCCACAGACACACCCATATTGTCCATGACAATTTGACACGCCCGTTTCCTTTACTCACGAAAAGGAACGTGATAACGGCCATGGAGGGATAGAATGGTATTACAGGCCTTGATTACATCGGAAGGTTATATTTTGAGCATGCATCTTTTCACACGACGTTTTCCTTCAGGCGAGTTTTATCGTGACAACAAAATATCGAATTTTGCACGTAACAAATTAGCAATCAAATCTTGTCCAACCTGTTCGTCAGTTGTCACATTGATTGCAAATGAATTTCCGGTGTCAAATTGAAAATACTTTTTTTTTAAATTATTTTTTTGTTGTTGTCACATTCAAAACATACAAAAATATGTAATATCAGTAAGAATAATGAAAGGCCACTGTACGTATGTTATCTATATCTTTGAACAGGACTTGCATCTTTAAAACTTTATTACAACAAATACAAATATAAAAAAAAACATACATCTACATTGCTTCATTAATTTTGACATATTTCATGATTGATTTAACGAATGATTTATGTTATATGTGTAACTCTGAAGATTGTATAAAAAAAAAAAGAGAATTTAAAAAAAAAAAAAATGCTTACAACTCCAATCATGTATCCATGTTAAGCATTCTGTCAATGAAATTCCATTTTTAATTTACCGTAATCCTTTTTTTTATTTGAATATGTATCAGGTCCACACTCTTCTACTTTTTTTTATAAAAAAACATGTAAGTTTTCCATTCACTAATTGTAACATGATTACTGGGTCTCTTGCTAAGTCTATTTCATATTGTGACCTCAAGAGATACATAAAGGATGACCAAAGAGATTGAACATTACAACATTCCCAAAAATTCAATGAAATTAACAGCCAAGTTGAATTTCTCACAAAAGTATTCATATGTTAAAAACTATTGTTTTCAATAAGATCCCCAATAAAAAAATGTCTTTTTCACACCAATGTTTATAAATAAAAATCTTATTATCAATTTTAATGAAGTTATTATACCAGATCGGCTGAGAAGCAACAGTGTCTGTGGTTGTGGGGATTTCATCACCAGTTAACTCTGCCCATATAGTGAATATTTCTCTCCAAAAGATATTTAAGAATTTGGAAATTTTTAACAGCCCTTCTTTTTCATTTTAAAGACTTTATCTCCCCCATATGGTTTAAATATTTTCCAATTGAAAGTTACAAGTGATACCTAATAATTTAAAATTTCCTTGGTGATTCCAATTCAAATTCCTATCTGGAAGTATTTCCTCTCCACAACCCCGTTTTGCCCCAATCCGAATTGCCTGGGTTTTTTCAATATTTATCTTAAGACCAGAAACATTACCAAAATTATCTAAAATTTCAAGAACAGAATTTAAGGAATATGGATCATCAGATAAAGTAAAGGAAGTGTCATCTGCAAATTGATTTATTAGGTATTCTGAATTATTTACTTTGATACCCTTAATATTAGGATTTACTTTTATTGCTGAACTTAACATTTCTACACATAGGATGGAGATATATGGACTAGTAGGGTCGCCTTGTCTAACTCCACGGCATACATTAAAAAAAATGGAGCAGTGTCCATTGTTTATTACACAACATGAATTCTAATTATAGAAAGTTTTCATCCATTGTAAAAGAGAAGGACCAAAGCCGTAAAACGAAAGCGTTTTAAAGATAAAATTAAACTCTAGAGAGTCGAAGGCTTTCTCAAAATCTATAAGTAACAACAATCCAGGGATATTTTCTTTTTCAGGATTTTCTATTAAATCACAAATTAGCCTAGTGCATTCTGCAATATATCTTCCTTTAAGGAAGCCTTTTTGTGTTTCACTTATTATTCTGTTTAAAACTGTTTTAATTCTATTTGAAATAACTGAAGAAACAATTTTGTAGTCAACATTAAGTAAGGTAATAGACCTCCAATTTTTTACATATAATTTAGATTTACCTTCTTTCGGAATACATGCAATCATACCTTGACGTTGTGTCATAGATAGAAGTCCCTCGTCATATGCTTGATTAAGTTAATTAATTAAAAACCTATTGATATCTGTCCAAAAAAACTTGTAAAATTCTACAGTAAATCAATCTATTCCAGGAGATTTATTATTGTTCATATTTTTTAGGGATTTAAGACATTCCTGGTAATGTATTTTTCCTTCTAACTGGTTACTTTGTTCCAGAGACAGTTTATTTATAAAGGGATTTTCATTATAAAAAAAAAAAAAAGGAATTCGCTATATTATCATTTGTGTATGAGCTAGTATAGAGTGTCTGATAGAATTTGTTTTTGTTCTCCTAAAATGTCTTGTATATCTGTTATTTATTAAACCTGGAACTTCGTTCACCTTCAACTTTCCATCTTGCTTTCGCTCTCAAAACAATTCCTTTAATTTTACTGTCCCTATCTTCTTCCTGCTGTAATTTTTCCAGTTTTAATTCTAGATCATTTTCTAATTTATCTCTTTCCCGTTTTTTATTTGATGAGTAAGCAATAGTTTTCCCTCTAATCATTAATTTCAGTCTCCCATAGCAATTTATCACTTATTGAAAAGGTAATAAGGTTTATATCTTCCTCCTCATGATTAGTAGCATATATATCTATAAAATCTCCAATACATTTTTTGACAAGACCAATATAATCCAGATCATTTGACAAGTCTAGTCCAGCATGTGGTACATTAAATCCAGTGTTTGTCGCTAGATGGCGTCCGTGAACCGGAAGCGCAGATCTAGTCGCGCAGTGTCAGTTACCACTTGTTTCAAGCAGTGCACCGGAAAGAATATTCTTTGAGCATATAGGAAACCCACAGACACACCCATATTGTCCATAACAATTTGACACGCCCGTTTCCTTTACTCACGGAAAGGAACGTGATAACGGCCATGGAGGGATAGAATGGTATTACAGGCCTTGATTACATCGGAAGGTTATATTTTGAGCATGCATCTTTTCACACGACGTTTTCCTTCAGGCGAGTTTAATCGTGACAACAAAATATCGAATTTTGCAAGTAACAAATTAGCAATCAAATTTTGTCCAACCTGTTCGTCAGTTGTCACATTGATTGCAAATGAATTTCCGGTGTCAAATTGAAAATACTGGATAGCATTAATCCGGTGTTGTCGATCAGATTTGTTTCGTGCAGGAACTGACAGGGTGTAAAGTCATTTCGGGCATATCGGCAAAATAGGAAACAGATTTTGATTGAATTGACCTTAAGCATTTACCGTGTTTGCTGTAAAGATATTAGCTCTCGAAATTTTTACATTTTCCGATCCACTTGAGTTTGTGTTAGTCTAGTTTAAGATTCATTAAACTTTGAATCGACACAGAGATATTTTTCAGACACCATATAAATGTTTTTCCGTGACCAACGGTCCTCTTAAAGCATATTTAGTCCAATCCGGTTTAGAAAGCCGTGCAATTTACCCGCTTCGTGTCAGTAAAAATTTCTCCTAATATATTTCTCTAAACTTATAAAGCTTAAAATGACGCGATACGTACGTATTGGCGACTCTTTCAAGACAACACGCGAATGAAATAACGTTGTGTAAGTCTATATTAAACATCGAACTAAACAAGTTTTGTTTAAGTTTATATTAAACAACACTAATATAAAATAATTTTTGTGTAAGTTTATATTATATATCAATAGAAATAAACTCGTTTTGTGTAAGTCTATATTATACATAAATAGAAATAAACACGTTTTGGGTAAGTCTATATTATACATAAATAGAAATAAACACGTTTTGGGTAAGTCTATATTATACATAAATAGAAATAAACACGTTTTGGGTAAGTCTATATTATACATAAATAGAAATAAACACGTTTTGGGTAAGTCTATATTATACATAAATAGAAATAAACACGTCTTGGGTAAGTCTATATTATGCATAAATAGAAATAAACACGTTTTGGGTAAGTCTGTATTATACATAAATAGAAATAAACACGTTTTGGGTAAGTCTACATTAAACATCACTTAGAATAAAAATAAAAAGTTTGCGTAAGTAAATATTAAACATCACTACAGTTGAACAAGATTTATATAAGTCCATTGTTTATCATCACTTGAATTAAACAATTAAACATTAATTGAATCAAACAAGTTTTCTATGTATACCACTGTCCGACGCCTTTATCTACTATCACTCGGATGAAACGGGATTTGTACCTACCTCTGGTCTAAATCGGTGTCCACTGCCCGAATTACAGAGTAAATAATTATTGGAATCCACGAACCACCTGCAAAGAAAATGAATTTATACATGCTGGTACTTTATAAAACTTCCATACAATGTCACATTTTATGAACGTAACATCTGTCAACAAAGTAGAGCTATTCGTATCTAGTACAAACATTAATTAGATATTGATGTGAAATAAAATGTTGTACATAAACACACACCTACCAGTATATGACCTTTATAACTTAATATAAACGTAAGTTTGGTAATATGTATGTCGTGCCAAAACATGAATTACACTGCACCAAACACTGGTTCGTCCTCCTAGAACTCGTCGCTGATGCTGGGGGCCGAATAGGTTCAAACCCAAATAAATCTAAACTAGAAAACAGAATGTGAGGCGCATAGAACTCTTTGATTATATGAATTTCCAAACAAATTAGAAATATTGGTCATTTAAAGTTAATAATGTGTAAAGTAGATAAGATACAGAAAATATTATTTATGAAATAGTGTCATCGTGATATGACACGCTAAAATGATTCCGTTTTGATTGGTTGCAAGCGTCACCTAGGCCTAGACACGTAATACATTTAGATACATAGTGATGACGAGATAATATCGACAATAAAATGAAAAGACCAGTACTGTCACCTTCGTGTTGACAGGACCTATGAATGCACAGGTTAATAAATACATTATGTAATTTTTTTAGTGTGATCGACTTAACCGCATTTAGAGCGTAGCGGTGAAGAGACGTGTGTCTATAGTGTTGGTATAACGTCGAAGGACTAACACCAATTGTACGCCGTATTATAATGCTAAACTGAAACCAATCTAACGAATGTAGCTTCACGTTTGGTATAAAACTAAACTGGTACTTTAGTTCACTAAGTTGGTCAAGTGGAACAGTGAATAAAGCACGCGCCTTGCACGAGCACGGCTCAGGCAAATATTGAACGGTACCGGTATTGTGCCTCTTTCCCGACCACAATTTGTTTTCTCACGGTGTTCCCCGGTTTCCTCCCACATGAACAAACCCAGGGTGCTAATACAAGGATCGACAGGAGTGATTGAAATACGCAGTCATCTAATAAAACATGATTTATGTTTGTTGCGAAATATAAGCAGTTACATATGTTTAATATTCTTCCAATATTGCCGAAAATCAACTGGAGCAGATGTTTAATTATAGCATTGTGGTGTAACACTTGTGGTGTATGTTTAACGCTTTCAAGTGTTATATCAACTATACTCCAGCCAGTTTCCTGTGATATGCGGACATTATTCACAGACGTTTCATCGAAAATACAAACAGGAAGTAATACAAACCGGAAGTAATACAAACCGGAAGTAATACAAACCGGAAGTATGTACTATTCGTTACTTACCACCCTTTCTCTACTCAAGTATAAATGACAATTATTGTTTGTACACACCCCAGCCGAATATGTAATATCCAATAAGTGTTTTCGGTACTTCAAAGGCGTGCACGATGAGTCGATGGAGATAAAAGCCCTCGCAAAACATCCAAAAATAGTTACACATCTGGATATAGCGGTGAAGGACGTACAGCAGCTTACATCCGCCCTACAAACACGGGAAACATGGTGTAAATATACAATAAATATAGAAAATATACACGGGGTTAAGTGAATGAGATCCAGAAATTACGTCAGGATAACGTGATGCTGCCTTGTTATTGATTCAATATATTCAATTGTAACTCAATATAAGGAGGTCGTGGTTAATGTGTATAATTCAAGTACGTGCAGTAGTAAGGTCAAGATAGTGTGAGTTCTGTGCAGTTATTAGTTCAAAGTTATTACATATGTGCAGTAATTAGGTCAAGGTATATGTAATTATGAATTGTGTACAGTAATTAGGTCAAGATAATCTTGTTTCATATTCCTCTCTTACATCTGGGTGAATGTTCATGGTGTACCAAGAGTAGGTCAGTGTCACAAAGGTACTGTGTACGGTGAATGTATTTGATTACATACCGTATTTTGAACCATCAAACTATCTTCCCGGTTGTTCGCTTTCTTAACTCGATCGTAAACGACGAGAAAATCCCAGAGGATTGTCAGGAAAGCCGACACAGTGAAGGAGGCGAACAGACAGACGTGGAGACGAATCCTCTGTTGTACCCGCAGTTGTCTGTGGACAAAACAGTTTAACGTATCACACAAACAGACGACAGTTGTACCCGCAGTTATCTGTGTACAAAACAATTTAACGTATCACACAAACAGACGACAGCTGTACCCGCAGTTATCTGAGACAAAACAATCTAACGTATCACACAAACAGACGACGGTTTTGTGGATAGAAAAAATATTGGGGATATTTGTAATCGATGATTGATCCGCGGAAAAACACCTTACAAAAGACGATACCAGCCGTGTTAAACAAGACGTCACACGTTTTATATTTAATGCATTAATTTATTGCATTTATGATGACGTCATGACTCAAACGAAGGCATAGGTAATTCAATACTATTATGATACTGATAATGACATAGTACGAGGAACAAGGTAAGAAAGAAGTATGAGAGTGATGTTGACGTAACGACCTACCTGAAGCCAATGAGAGTGATATTGACGTAACGACCTACCGGAAGCCAATGAGAGTGATGTTGACGTAACGACCTTCCTGAAGCCAATGAGAGTGATGTTGACGTACCGACCTACCTGAAGCCAATGAGAGTGATGTTGACGTAACGACCTACCTGATGCCAACAAACACAATACAGGTGGATGCCAGCAGTATGACGCTGATAAGGACGTCATGACTTACATAACGGCCAGCAACATCATATAGTTAAATACCAACAGTATGATGCTGATGATGACGTCACGACTCACCTGAAGGACCAGAAACACGATTTAATTGGATACCAGCAAAATGATGCTGGTGATGACGTCACGACTTACCTAAACGCCAGGAACACGATACAGGACGGAACTAGCAGTATGATGCTGATGAGACTACATATGAATCCAACGTACACCAACTGCTGCTGATTCTGAAAATCAAAAGAACATTTTTGAACAAATAGTAATGACTTTTTGAAGGTTTTTCTGTAAGGATCGTTCATGTGATATACATACTCATACATTTAATTAGCAGGCGATGACCTGAATGCATCATTCCTGCAAGTCGGGGATCATCGAGAAAAGAATACGCTTGCTGTTACCAACCACATGTAGCACAAGCGGCGACTAATGTGGGAATCCATGGAAACTTTGTGATTTGCTTTAGCCACCAAAATAAATCTGCTGCACCGATTGCAATTTTTAGGATCTTTATATTTTCCTCTACTCTAAGTACCTTTTGTTCTCTAGCGCCTTACTTGGTAAAACCTCCATTATGACTTTAATGGTGAACGTTCGCCCAGAGATTGAAGGTAATGGGTGTCGTCCTCGTGCCGGGACATACCCAAGTCTTTAACAATGGTAGTTTTTATTTCCTGCTTAACGTGCAGCATTAAGGGCAATGACAACAACTGGTCTACCAGTTGTCAATATAATATGAATGGGCGGAATACCGTGACGGGTGCCTTCGGCATGGTATTTCAGTAAGATAGCACAATAAAGTCGGCATCAGATCCGTGCTAAAGCAAAGAGGTCATAGCACTAACACATCCAAGCCTACATTACACACATAGAGGCACGTCGTTAAATGACCTCAGTCTTACACTGTACCTGCTGTATTATTGATTAAGGGTAAACCTTAATTTATTCACATCCAGCTGAAAACCGGCAGAAATATGATATGTAGACATATAACGCACACTAGAGATACATTCTGTAGTCTATAAAGGATATATTGAAGGCATAGTAAAGTTATATACTCTTAATTCTCTACATTATACACAATAGTTAGGTCTGAAGTATTCAGTTAGGAAACATCAATGTTAGATCAAAATATACAAACTGTAATACAACGCATATGTCTCGCTTGTAATTTGAACGTGTGGACGCTATCAAAGATAAAATCATGCCTTCATTATCCAGTTTAGTAAACAATAATTGCCAAAAACACGTGGGATGTCTGCGGTTTGTATTGGAATATGACGTCTAAGACAAAAATGTCGATTTCTGGTATAATGAAAGCATGATAAGAGAAAGTATTTGCCTGTTTTATTTCGTGCAATGCAATCAAAGTTCCTGAAACGATAAGCTTTAAGTGAACTTCTTCTCTTTCTTAACCTGAAATAATCAATTTGACCGAGTCTATTGTCATAACTTATATATAGGAAATTTGACAGTCTTTCGTTTTAAAAACTATGAGGAAAACTGATTTATTTGTGTTTTGATGTGTAGGGAGGGGATTTCAAGGGGCAGAGTGTCGGGATATGTACAGAAAGGACACAAGCTGTCACCGACTCTCACAGTCAAACCCATTCTAACCAATACGTCGGAGTTCCAAAATTGTCAATTAACGCAAATATTGATTTGGAGCCCTTGTGGTCGAACTTGCAGATTCAGAAGCAATGCGTATCAGATAAAATGCCAGGCAAACACAACGATCTGATAAAAATGGTATGAATCACATTATATAATGCTTATTTACACACGGTGTCGAAAATACCGATTAGTTAGAATAGTCGGTCCATTACGTCACTGGATTGGTCGGTAAAGACCAATTTTACTTTATGTCGAGGCACTCCTTTCTTTACGCTGTGTCAGAGAGTACTACTTGATACTCTTGTGCCCACTGAAAGCTGTGTCAGAGAGTACTTCTTGATACTCTTGTGCCCACTGGGCAGTGGGCACAAGAGTATCAAGTAGTACTCTCTGACACAGCGTAAAGAAAGGAGGATTATAATCTATCAGCGCCACCTATCTCAAAACCAAGATAGCTGGATGAATTTGTTTTTTAGATGTCAATGTAGTCTTCTACCGCCTGCATGTACGTGTATCGAGAGGGTAAGAGTATTCGGTCTGCTGCCAATTATCACAACGACAAGATAGATAAGTCGGTCCATTACCAACTGTCTCGATATCGACGTGATCCACTTAGTCTGTCCACTACCTAGCATTTCGACATAAAGCTGACTAGGGCAAGTAGCTGACCTACTCGCATTAACACTTCCACGGACCTTAATAGTAAAGGGAAGAACTGGTTTAATACCATTTCCCTCGATGCCGAGGTACATGTAGTGTAACGAGTCAATCTACTACCATGTTTCTCGATGTCGAAATAACTAAGTATTTCGATCTCTTCTGATTAACTCGAGGTCAACAAAAGGGTATCTGTGGCGAGTCTGTAACTCATAAAACCACTATCTACAAAGAGTTTAACTTCAAACGCAAAATCGTAAATAAACCAAGCTAACGCTTACCTCGATGTCCAGACAGGTAGAGTAGTTGGTCCACTCGAAGTTATGCCCTGTCCTGGCGTCTGTGAGAGTAAACCACGTGCCATTCTCGGTGCAGTCCTTATAAGCCTGGGCTACGGGAACAACAGAACACATATTTATTCATCTACAGCATTCCTATACCGTTCAATCGTAAAAAGCAAATGTCTCTCGAAGATTCACTATGCTATGTTAACATAATTCGCCAAAAAAACCCAACAACTTTCTATTATATATTTTAAACTAAGCTGTTTCAAGAAAAATCTTGGATAGAGATTATAGCAAAAATAGCAGTTTATATAAACTAAATGATTAACAGTAACTTGGTGAACTATCTAGTTAAGTAATTACAGTAACTACATTGTACATCCTTTTTAATAATCAAGTAATTAAAAGGAAATAGGTTAATTTTAATAATTCGATATCAATGAAACTGTATACACCAGTGCTATCTAGACTAGTGGAACTTTATTCAGCGGTGATAGTGTCCTTAACCTCGAGACGAGGAGAGACCAAACATGATCTTATCAATGGTGATCGATCTGTGGAGTTAAGTAAACGGAAAACGGATCAATCTGACCATTTGTTGACTATGTCCTCGATATAGCGGTACTGAGTACCCTTCTGTTTACAAACCTGTGCATGTCGGCAGAACAACATCTCACTGTACCTTCCAACACTGAAAAGGTTGCCGTATCGTGTGGCATTTATTAACGACTTTTCGGCGGCGTCCTTTGCTCCGATACAAAAACTAAATTTACTGTCTTATTATGTTTTATCTTAAAATACTTTACTTGTAACAATATGTTGTTTTACTTAGATTTTTGTCTGATTTTGTTCACTGCTTATGTCTATGCTCGGCTATCGGATTGGTTTTGTTACGTTTAAAGTCCTATACTCAGGTGAAGTTATTTAAGGACGTGTCTCCATAAGTGTAATGCATGAGTGCATGTGTGTATGTGTACTACGGACGGTACATGTACGTTGTTGTATATACAATCTGTCCGATAGCGCGGATCTGATGCCGACTTTAGAGCGATACCTCACTGAAACACCCAGTGGAAGGCACACACCATATTATTTTTACACGATAACATTATACTGACAAAGGCCTAGCCAGTTACTGTGATTATCATGAATACTAAAACTATAAACAAAGAATAGCAATAATCATTTTTAAGGACTCTGGTATTCCCGGTCTGGGGACAGAACCAATTGTCTACCCTGCTTGGTCGAACGTTCAATACTAAGGCCAAAGGTAAACTATATGTCAAGCAAGAAGCTGGAAAACAGAAACGGTGTTATGAGATAGAAAATAAAATCAAAAGATCCCCAGATATCGCAATGGGTACAGCAGATACAGTTTAGTCGCTTGTGTGACCCCAAGAAAAGAGAATCCCCGATTCTGTTGGCCCTTATAACACGCAATGGATAACATCAGGTATATTCTTTTCTCCATCCCCGAACTGCAGGTGAGGAAATCAAAACATGCATAAATATAATAACATTCATGTTCTAGGATACCATTTAAATACTGTTAATATAACATAATTGGAAATAATATTCAGGAAAAATGATTATAAGTTACTGTATTAAAAGCAATGACACACTCTTTTGCAATGTATATTCACCCTTAAAATGCTTTGAACATGTATGTCCACTCGCCGTATAGTCGTCTGCAAACAATCTCCTGATCTCTGTGGCGACCGTTATATGTACTTTCGATAGGTCTCTCTGGAGACATACATCGTTTAACCTATGTCTACAGCCTGTATCGTTATTTTCTTCAGAAAAGTCGTAAATCGATAACAACACAACAATTATGGTTCAAATTGGTCAAAATTATCCCCATTTGTAGTTACGGAGAGTTCTCGTCGCGACTCTAACAAATTAAAGACAGTCGAAACAGTATCGAAAAGGCTAAAAGTTGAACTAGGATTTCCTTCGAGAAGTTCAGTATTATCATACACAGACAAGTGATATAAGAAACCAGTGTATCAACGCCAACAATGAATCATTTACTTCATGTAATAGGAAAATTTACGCAAATTCCCGCAGGTTCAGACAAGAATAGGCATGCAGTATCCCACTGCCAGTCGTAAGAGGCCACTAATGTAGGGCCCCTGCAGAATCGGGGGTTTCCTTTGCGTCTTCTTCTCAGAGGGGCACTGCAGAATCGGGGGTTTCCTTTGCGTCTTCTACGAATAGGGGCACTGCAGAATCGGGGTTTTTCCTCTGCGTCTTCTACTCAGAGGGGCACTGCAGAATCGGGGGTTTCCTTTGCGTCTTCTACACAGCGGGGCACGGCAGAATCGGGGGTTTCCTTTGCGTCTTCTACACAGCGGGGCACTGCAGAATCGGGGGTTTCCTTTGCGTCTTCTACACAGCGGGGCACGGCAGAATCGGGGGTTTCCTTTGCGTGTTCTACTCAGAGGGGCACTGCAGAAAGCTAAGTTGATCTGCTGCCAACATTACAACACCTGGGGTCTATATATATCTTCCTCAATACCCTACTCTTCCTATTGGCTGTCTCCCTAGGCTAATGACATTAGCCGTGGCTAGGACGTTAACCTAAAATAAATAATCTGTTAATATCCCGACTGTAAACTACTGTAAGTAAAAGAATACACTTGTCATATATATAAAAGTCACTAACACATCTATTACAGTCCTCGCAAGACGCCGTGGGAGATAATATGCCTTTGCTCTTTATCAACACTACTAGTCATTATGTTTATTACATTATTTTAATTAATTGATCGATGAATTCTGTTCCGTACTTTACGAATACTAATAAGATTAGCGCTCACGTGTTCTCACATCTACGACAGATGCGAGCGGTTTATGTCCTGACACTGCCGTCATACTACGGAAGGTGACTGTATTGAACAAAAAAACTAGGTTATTGTGTCGCGCTGAGGGAGCGGGGGAGTAGTGGCTGATTGTTTCTTGTTGCAAAATTTATTGAACTATTTTTTTTAACTTAATGATGCTGTGTAAGAATGGCATAGGGCAGTCAAACAGACGCATTTGAACATTTGATTTTTTTTTTTTTTTTACACGATGTATTTTAACCGCATTACTGCTCGACGGAACACTTTTGTATAGTACGAAACAGGCATCTAAACTTCATTTCTTTACCATGGTACACTTTCTGTGGTCCACCGAACAAAGTTGAAATGTTACAGTTCGTTTAGGTACCAACGTACACATATTTAGTGGTTCACAACTAAGTATTTATTATTCGTGTCCGTACCGGTCACACTTTTGTGTGGTACACAAACGAATCATTTATGTACCATTTCTTTATCGGGGTGCACTTTAGTTGGCCAGGATCATATCTGATATGTAAAATAAACACCGTATCATGGGGAATGCTGGCCTTAGTATGGGGCAGCAACATTCATAAAACACGAGAAGAAAAGTACACGAAATAGTGAAGCTTTGTTCCAATGTTTCGTGGTACAGGAACAAAGCATAGATACCTTGCGTACCAAGCTAAATTGCATATTGTCAAGAAACAAAGTGTAAATGATTCGTTTGTGTAGCATACAATATTGTACCATGGTACACAAACGAAATAAGAATACTTCAAATATGTCTGGTCGCATTCGGCCGCCATAGAAATTTAGAAACAACCTTAGGTAGTCGTAAAATCTCAACAAAGTACGGTGTTTAACCCCTTTCATTAATATTGATAACATTGATGCATATTAAAACTAATGGCAATAAGTATGAAACACATTAATGGGCCATCGACGGTTATTTTGCGGCTTACATTGAACAATTATAGTCGCGTTATGTTTACATATTCAAATTTACACTGTGTTTTCGAATTAACATTTTAAGTCATTATCATAAAATGTGAAACATTTGCATAATTGCATGTATTTAATGTTTAATGTCACCAGTTGAGTTGTTGATCGTTTTAATATGAAGTGTTTGTGCAAAATCAAATCTGCATTACAAATTAACCACTAAACACTAATAACTGTGTCACTTATATGTCCTACACATCGTTAATTGTAATATGTCTGAGTTAAAGATTATTAATTACAAGATAAGATCAGTTTTGTCTAATGATTTGAAAAATGCACTTTGTAAAAATAAATTTCAAGCGTACAATTAATAAAAAGCAAAAAAACACTTCAGCATAAACGATTTCCTGTTTTATAGCAAATAATTTTAAATGGAAATGTATGTCATTATATGCCTTTAGACAGCGACGAGAGCAAGGTAGTTTTCTACCTCGGAGCATTTAAGGCTGTGCGTTTGAATTTACGACCAATTATCATAGTTTAATGTTTCTTCCATATCTGCTATATATTACGATACAACGAGTCCACGCTTAATATTTTGTTGATTTGATGGTATGAAATAATACTTTAAGGCGTGACAGGTTTCCTGTAATGAGGGAAACACACATGTACAAATTAATTTGCCTGTGTCTACATTGAACAAAGTGAGGATCATACATAGACGTTGAGGAAAAGAACCTGCTGCCCCCAATTGCATGATCGTAAGAGGCGACTAAATTTGGGACCTTATCTCTTCTCTCCTTTCTAAATAACTTTCTTCTTCCTAATGTATCCCTTGACAATGCCTCACTTTTGGCCATTTGTTGAGCGTTCGCCCCTGTGAGGAAGGCTTTGGGTTCTGTCCCCTGGCCGAGACATACCAAAGTCTTTAAAAATGGTAGTTTATACTTTGGCTTAACGCTCAGCAAATTAGGAGTGGGACGACTGGTTGGCCCGTTGTCAGTATAATGTGACCGGGTGGGGCGTCCTGCTGGGTGACTTCGGCAGTATGTTTCAGTGAGGTAGCATTATAAAGTCGGCATCAGTTCCGCGCTATCACGAGGAGACAAACACGAACATATCGCAGCCTCCCAAAATACACACACATACACTAAACGCAGGTATCTTGCACACAGGGGAGGCAGTCCTTAAATGACCTTAGCTGTTAATAGGACGTTAAACAAAATCAAACAAACAAACAAACTTTTAATAGGAGCTCCATTGCATCATTGCCACATGAAAAAATGATGTATTTCAAGACTTATTCATAGAAATTGCGGTACATGTAGTGCATACAT